GACCTCATATAGGATTAAGTCGACCTAATATGTTGTTTCAGTGTAAAAACAGTTTCATCGTGTCTACTTTGGAGATTCATATCTTACAATTGGCTAGATGGAAATTGGAGATTAAAGGCTTGTTTTGAAGCTGAAGTGTCCTATACACATTAAAGTACTTGGGAGCTCAATAGAAAGTCCAGAGGACCATTTTTGAACCTGGCCAAAAGGCTATGCCAAAACTGGGAAACTGCCTGAAAATGGCTAAGTTTGGCAACGTGTTTGTCAAGCCTACTTTGGAGCTCAATTTGAGAAGCATGGATGCGAGTCAAGTCCAGGGGCCTCTACCACGTTAAATTAAGTATTTTTTTATACAAAGGAAAGGCATTGAATTAAAGATTGAATATCTTTAAGGCTTCAAACAAAAGGCTCGAAGTTGCTACGAAGGCTGTTTTTCTGGCAGCTTGCTTGTGCTCGAAGTCTGCCAGAAAATAGCCTTCGTAGCAACTTCGACCCTTTTGTTTGAAGCCTTACAGATATCCAATCTTTAATCCAATGCCTTGAATTTGTATAAAAATATACCTAATTTAACGTGATAGAGGCTCCTGGACTCGACTCGCATTCATGCTTCTTGAATTGAGCTCCAAAATAGGCTTCACAAACACGTTTCCAAACTTAGCCATTTCCAGGCAGTTTCCCAGTTTTGACATAGCCTTTTGATGAGGTTCGAAAATGGTCTTCTGAACTTCCTATCGAGCTCTCAATCACTTCAATATGTAGAGGGACACTCCAGCTTCAAAACAAGTCATTAGTCTTTAATTTCCATCCAACCAATTGTATGATATGAATATCCAAAGTAGGCACCATGAACTGTTTTTACACTGAAACAACAGATTAGGTCGACCTGATCCTATATGAGGTCGACCGAATCCTAAATGAGGTCGACCAGATCCTATATGAGGTCGACCGAATTCTAAATGAGGTCGACCTAATCCTAAATGAGGTCGACCGGAAAGTGCAAATCACTGTGACATGCATGTCACCGTAGGCACACCCCTTTGATTATCATAATCAACTTTAAACAAATATAATCAACTTAATGATTTGCTTGGGTTATATAGTTCATAGATCAATCCTAACATGACTAGAATTTCACCTCTCTATTTTTCTCAAGAGAGTATGACAGAACTGAGCAAAAGCCGAAATATTAGTGCAAGTATCAGTTGATAATGACGAAGCTGGGATGTCTTCGATATTCTTGCTTAGAGAGCTGACTTTTGGGGTATTTAGTTTCTTTGACAATAATGTGTGATCTATTAATCATGCGACATGCGCATTCCATCGACTTGATTTGGGCATTGTCCATTTTGGTTTTCTCGGCCAGAGATTCATCACCTTCTGTGTCACTGGGGTTTTTGGCTAAAGGGAAATCTAGATTGGGGTTTCTTTATTAAATCACTTGGTGACTTCCATTTTCACTGTCGGGAATTGGAGCCAACGAAGCATTCCTTTGATTTTTTCATGTTCACTCAAGAAGTATCATGGTGTTTGACAATAGTGACTTGATTTAGGGCTAATGGCTTGGTATGGATTGCCCATTTTAGTGTTTATGCTTTATTGTTTCTTTTCTAATGCAATGGATAATAACTTTCCATCATATTACTATAGTGTTGTTGGCCTGTCTCTGACCATATTCGCGAATATGTTAATAAGTAATATCAGTCAGAGTCAGAATATTAAATACAGGAGCTACGGGGATCGAATAATAACCTACAATATAATATCATATCAAACAATATATATTAAAGAGGCTCTCCGTGATTAGCCACTCAATTCCCTTTTTCCTGCCTTATGCGCAACTCACGGAAGGACCATTTGGTCTTTTAGATTAATATAGATGGGCTTCTAGGCCCTAAGCAGACTGATTGAGTTATTGTTATTATATTCTAAGTCTAAGTCTAAGTCTAAGAGCATGAGTTCTGACAATTTAATTCACCTACTACCCAACCTGACAACTGAAGTCCGACTCTACTTTTGCTCCCAAAGCATACAGATACAGGGCTTCACAGGAGTCCCTAATGCACCTCTTTGTTTATCGTCTTCTCTCTTGAGAGCTTAGGTACATTATTTTTTATTAAAATGAGCTTAAGTATATATAAAACATATTTGTTTATCGTCTTCTCTCTTGAGAGCTTAGGTACATTATTTTTTATTAAAATGAGCTTAAGTATATATAAAACATATTGTAAAATATCTACATTCATATTTAAATCAAATATAATATTCTAAACAAAATAACAAATACTTATATTTTAAATACAACATTTAACGTAAATATCAAAATATTTATTCTTGAATTAAATAAATAAAATAAACATTTAATTTATAAATTTATAAAATAAATCAACAATGAAATTTTTTAATTGAATTCACGACATCATTTTGTTTTGAGATCGAATATCAATTTTGCCGATCATACTGATGATATTCCAGTCTATTTCAACCGATCAATATCCACCTGCTTAACAATAATGAAAATGATATATAGTACTACTAGAATGCTGATATACCAATAGTGATTACTAATGCTGATACTACTAATACTTTCCCGCTATTTCCCAAAACATAAACTGATACCCACTTTCCTCCAAATCCATATGTTATCTTATATTCTTATGGTTTAGTTTCCAACAGAAAAATATTTCATGTAGTTGGGGAGTGAGGAATTTAATGAATTATATCATAATTGAGTAAAGAAGGAAATAATAAATTTTTGGGACAGTTTGACCAAAATTTTTGGGCAGCTGATAGAGATTTGGGGACTGGTGTGATTTTCAACCATGTTGTTTAAACACTTTTCAAAATCACTTATGAATATTAAAAGAAGCATATCTCATTTGTTTTACATCAAATTATTTTTTAAAAAATATTGTAGAAAATTCATATTTTCAGTGCTCTACAATATGATATCCTGTTTGATATTTTTTGGAGCAAATTTCTTTTAGCATCTTATCAATATCATATAATGATATGGTAGTAATATGAGGGTGCTATCAGTCTTACCGGATCATGGTATGACAATGGTGAGATGATATTATGAAATCTTATCATAGTGATATGATATTGGTGTGACAATGGTAAGATAGTATAAATTTATTTTTGAGAAAAAATTGATATTATACCACTTTCATATCATGATATAATGTGTAAATGATCAAAATGTTCACATAGGTTCGAGCGAGTAACAAAATGATCACAAACGTTTAAATCGAACAAAAAGGTCACGCAAGTATCACGTTATAACAAAACATCTATGCCATGTCTTTTAATCTGTATTTTCATCCAAAATGGCTAATTAACTTGCTCTAGGTAATTTTACATATTGGTTATATGTTTGAGAATTTGTTATTAATTATGCACTGTGTCAGCAAACTAATTGGTTATTTTATATGGAACTATAGCCAAAAAGAGATTAAATGATTGTTTTGTATATCTTGATACGTAGATGACCTATTTGTTATGTTTTAAACATTTGTGATTATTTTGTTACTGGTCCAAACTACATGACCATTTTGATTAATTACCCATGATATTATCTATATGATAGTCGTATGATAGTGTGATCAGTCTTACGATGGTGGTAACATCATGACTTACAGTGATAAGCTTACAACAAACACGTGATTTTGAAAGGCTAATTTCTTTTTTGTACAAAATATAGCAAAACAATGAGATGACTCGATTAAGAAAATTAGAAAAAGTAGATTTTGACTGGTCTAAAATTTCATCTCTTCTCTGAAATCCATGACAGACTGACAATCAAGCAATAAAAGATAGGAATGAGAAAACCAGATCGCCCCCTCTTTGTCCTCATACAAGTTGTGGACTGTCCAAATCAAAGTTAATGAACGGATGGAGATTTTGATTCTATAGAATTTTGTACACAAAATTTTGTTTCCTTATCTCATTATTTTGTTACTCAAACTTCAAATCTTCTGGAGTTGCTTACGGACGTGTAGCAAATCCTCAAATCCCATCCCCAAAATCGCCGAAAAATATGGAAGATATAAAAACTTATTATCAAAAAGGTTTAGGTTAGTATGCAAAACCCTATAGTTTTGAAAAATAGCTGACCATAATTTATGGGCAGTTGATCAGATTTTTTGTGGTTGAACGGAGTACTAGGCATGCTGTAAAGCACTTTTAAAATTTTCTCTGAAAATTCAACTTATTGGTTTTACATTGGATTTTAAACATATATGTATAGAAATATCATATTTTTTTGTGCTGCTCTATAAGATGATATTCATTTTTATTTTTTCAATAAAATATTTTTGGGTCATCTTACCTCTGTCATATCACGGCAATACTGCTCATATTCGTATGATGTTGATATGATAGTGAAGTGATGTTGGTATGATGTGTCATAATGATAAGATAATATGAATCAAGCCAACTGTCGCACCAAATAAACACGTATATCGCACACTAATTACTATAGCTGTTTAGGTGGTTTCGCTTAAAAAAATGAGGGCAGCTCTGTCCTCTCTCCTAGTCTGGTGTTCGGCTCACATCCTATCTCTGGTGGAGTTTTGCAAGGCGGCTGGTGCTACGTTTCTCTCTTTCTTTTCATTGATCCTCCTAAATACCCTTGCTAATCAAGGGATCCAAGTAACTAGGTGGGCTGAGGCTCAGGTGACCTTGGTGAGAAAGGTGAAGGAAGAGCGGCCGGCAACCGCACGGTGAAGGAGATTGTACACTGAGGAGACTTTAAACAAAAGGTCCCTTAAGAGGCAAAGGGAGAAAGAGACTGCACATCCTCGCTCGCAAGAAGAATCAATGTCCAAACGACGATGCCATCCTAGGCGCGTGATGTGGCGTTTTGTCTTGCCTTCATCGGAGGGTATAGAAGAAGAGTGGCAAAAGGCCCTGATTGGGTTGCCTACCCAACGATCGCAGAGGGATTTTTGTCAATTCCACGGATCCCCTGATCAATTTCCCGTCATGTGAACTTCGACCCCGAGATGGGGCGAGTTCGGAACTCAGATCTTGGTGTGGGACGAGTTCGTTTAAGATGTGTGGAGGGGCTCAGACGATGACTCTATCTGTTCAAGCACATCCGGCGGCAAGACTATGGTCTCCGCCGTTTTGCCGATTAATCCCTCGCCGGAATAGCTTGCCGAGGAACAGCCCAGCTGCCCAACTAAAACCTAACGGTGCGGCGATATCACCGGGGAGGGATAATGGAGCTAAAAATCTTCGGTTACGGCATATCTGCAAGTGGGTGGAAATATTCCCCAGGCAGTTATTTAATTTCGAAAATGCTAGTTTGCCACTCCAAGTAGAATCCTCTCTGAAGTGGAGGGATGAGACCTGCGTGGCCTATTTAACGAGACCCTTTCATCCTCCCTCCTATCATCGATTCTGTGGCGAGGAAGCTAGGAGATCTAACAGGTGGACTTTCAATCTCAGGCGGGATCTCTACTCGGGTATGTGGATGTTCTCAACCTCGGAAATTGTGTTCATAATATGGATGGATGATTGCCCTATTATGAACCTCTGTTTCCCTGTCTCTAATTACCCTTGGCTTGCTGTAAGCAACCCTCTTGGCACTGCGTACGTTTGTGACAATCGTGCTTTCCCTCTGTTGCAGTTGAACACAATGGCGCATATCACAAGTGATCAGGTTGTGGAATTCTCTATGGCAGAAGTTCAACCTGAGCGAGTGCGTAGGACCAAAATGCTGCTCGACCGTGTCTTTTCGGAGGATCGGCTGACAGTGGCGGAGCTGAGAGAGGCGGTAAATAATCCGTGGCAAGGCCAAGGCCGAATTAAGTTGCGAGAGGTAGCGCATGAGTTGTATGAATTCACTCTCCCAACTGAAGTTGCGAAGAACTGGGCACTTCAACGCACACCATGGGTGATTAAGGATAGAATCCTTCAGCTACGTGCTTGGGTACCAAATATCTCTGCCCGCACTTTCGACGACATGGCGATTGCCCCGTTTCGAGTCCAATTATGGGACGTACAAGATGACTGTTGCATCCATCAATTTGGCAGGAAGGTGGCGAATTCAACCCTTGGCCGAGTCCTTGAATCGGGTGTTTTTGTTTGCAGTGACACGGCCAACAATTTCATTAAGGTCAAGGCGCTTATTGACTTCTCCAAACCACTGCGTTCTCAAGTCCTGGCCACAAATGATGAGATGGGATCCTTCTAGATCCGTTTCAAATATGAGCACCTTCCTAGTTTCTGCTACAATTGTGGCTGAGTGGGGCATTTTCGACAGGCTTGTGGATTCGATCCGCTTACCCGGAAAGAGCGATTTGGCCCTCATATGCAGACCAAAAAAATGGGTAGGAAGATCTTTGAGGAAGTGGAGAATGATTAACTCCTACATGGCCCATCAAATTCGGTATGGGTTAGTACTAATATTCGTTACAATGCTGGTATGGAGGATCGGGCTAATCACCGGAGGGGTACTAAGATGCATAATGAGCCAAACTCGGCAAAATTACCAATCATGGACGAAAGCCCGCAGTCGCTGGGGTCCTCGACCAATCCCTTCATCACTACTGAGACCCGCAATGTTAAGCAGGGACGGAGTCCTCGTCGCTTCCCAGTTCAAAAAGTACCCAAAATTTCAATGGGGAAGCAGGGGCGTCGCGGCAAAGTTTGATCCAGGTCATCGGGTTGTCCGATGGAGGTGGATGTGCAACGCAAACCAAATCCAGCTCTACAGAGGCGTCAAGATGGCCAGAAATCTCTGCGGCCCGCTAAAGGGGGTGCTCCTGGGAAAACAAAGCAGGCGCGTGCAGAGAATACCCAACGCCAGGTTGGGGAGCCAGCTGCTGACCCCAATCCTCATGCCGCGGTCAGGGAGGCAACCCGCCGGAGGCGCCTTATTCTGGAAGAGGAATCAGAGGACGAATTTATTGTCCAGAGCATATCTCCGAACAGGAAGGGGGATACCCAGCGACTGCCTGGGAAGATGGATGGTGGCCGACCTAACCCTTCTAAAACGGCTGCTCACCATCGGGAGTGTGGCCAGCTGGGAAATGGGCCGGGCAAGGAGGATTTACCTTCCTATGCACCCACTTTGAATGATGGGCCTGAGCCCAATTCACGGCTGCCGAAGGCCTCAGCGAAACCTGCTAAGGCTAAGAGGCTGAATCGGCCCAGCAAAGCAGTCCAAGACCCTAAGGGAGCGGTTAACAAGCCCGAATTGCCCAAAGGGGAGGTGCAACGAGCTGGCCACTCTGACCCTACTGACTCGGTGGACTCAGTCTCGGAAAGTGAGGCCCAATCTTTTGAAATCCGACGACGTTCACCTGTGGTCATGGGGAAAATGTGGCGTCCGGCCCATTCCACTAAAGTCAGTCAGGTGGTGCGAGCCATTGAGCAGGGATTGGCGATGAGGGACGATGAGGAGGTGCCCGATAATGGAGAGAACCAAGCTCAAGGGAGCATGGATAGGCAGAAACCGATTTTGGACACTGCTCAAACTACCTCCTTTAATGAATATGGGACCAATTTGTCAGACCCGGAGATGGGTGCCAAGAAACGGCAATTTGATGAAATGGAGGGGGTGATAGAGGATAATCCTACCCCAAAACGACAGTTTGTGGAGGACAAAGATGGAGTGGAAAAGGTGGAGGAAGCCAGCCTAGAGTGGCCCCAACTAGTTAAATGAGGCTTCTTACCTGGAATGTGAGAGGAATTGGACCATCCCTCACATTCCAAACTGCTGTTGGTTTATTGCATTCTAATAAACAGGATCTTGTGTTTTTCTCGGAAACACGATCGAGCCGGAGAGTAGTGGCCCGTCGTATGTGGGGTTTAGGCTTTTAGCATTCTCATTGTTTCTTTGTTGATGCTCTTGAAGCATCAGGAGGGTTAGTAGTAGCTTGGTCCCCCGGGGTTGATGCCTCAGTGTTTTTCCATTCCAATTTTTGTATTTGCACTCAGATTAATGAAATTGAGTTTTCTTATGTTGTGGTTTCGGTGTATATTAGCTGTGATATGGCCACTAGAGCCGACCAATTGGCCCAATTGCAAGATATTTGTAATGCGATCATGCTTCCCTATGTTGTCATTGGTGACTTTAATGCTACCCTTCATGAGGGTAAGAAGGATGGTGGGAATGCTTGGAATGCTGCTCAGTCTCCGGAAGTTTGTCCAGGTGTTGGGCCTCCATGATCTAGGGTATCAGGGAGACCAATTTACTTGGACGAACAAACGAATGGGGGCTGCTTGCATTCGTGAGCGACTGGATAGGGTGCTATGCTCCCAGTCCTGGATTGACAATTTCCCTAAGACTTTGGTGAAACATTTCACGGACCAGGGGTCGGATCATCGTGCCCTCCTCCTGTCCGATAAGCCATATGTTCGCAATACCAGACCTCTGTTCCACTTTGATGCTCGTTGGGCTGATAATCCGGAGGTCAGAGCTATGGTCAACTATGTTTGGCAGGAGAATATTCAAGGTACCCCTATGTTTCGACTTTGGGAGCGCCTGAAGAAATTAAGACATATTCTCTATGATTGGAGTAGGGCAAGGACTACGAATTCCCTTCGGAATATCAAAACTCTTCACGGTGAGATAGATCGTCTCAAATCTGCTCACCCCATTAACTGGGACTCGGTTCGTAGCCTTGAGACTGAGCTTTCTCGTCAATGGGAGGCTGAGGAAGTCTATTGGCAACAAAAGTCCAGGGTCCGATGGCTTCAGAAAGGCGATAAAAATTCCTCTTATTTTCACACTGTGACGAGAGCACGTCGAAAAACAAATTTTGTATCTGGACTATATAATACTGAAGGAGGATGGGTTACAGAGGAGAAGGGAAAGGCTACTATTGCCACAGAGTTCTATCAGAAGTTATTTACCTCGGAAAATCAAGTCCCAGATGTGATGGAGAGGGTGGCAGCTTTGCCCATCTCTTGTAGCGTCACTCCGGAGATGAATGCTAGTCTAACAGCAGCAGTCTCGCCGAGTGAAGTGAGGAAAACAGTCTTTATGATGGGATCGAAACAGGCTCCGGGGTCTGATGGTTTCACGGGCAAGTTCTTTAAGGCCTTCTGGGATATTGTTGGTGACTCGGTAATCGAGGCAGTCTGCTCCTTTTTCGTAACGAGTAGGATGCTCCGCAGTTTCAACCATACTTGGCTAACTCTGATCCCCAAGGTGGATAATGTGGAGTATGTGAAACAGCTGCACCCGATTAGCTTATGCCAATTTGCTTACAAGATTATAACCAAGATCATGGTTGAGCGACTCTCCAACCTCTTACCACAGATTATCTCAGATGGTCAGAATGCTTTCATCCGTGAGCGGCAGATAATTGAGAATATCCTCCTTGGACACGAGCTAATGCATAATCTCAAAATTAAAACACGGGGGAAGAAAGGATACATGACTCTAAAGGTTGACATGGAAAAGGCCTATGATAGAGTCGAATGGTCGTTTCTTCTCGCGGTGTTGGATAAGATGGGTTTTAGTTCTGTCTGTCAAGGGTGGATAAATGAGTGTCTTAGATCATCTTCTTTCTCGGTTCTCATGAATGGTACCCCGTCAGGTTATTTCACTCCTTCCCGGGGACTACGGCAGGGTGATCCGCTCTCCCCTCTCTTGTTTGTGCTTTGCACTGAGGGATTTGCAGCGCTCCTTCGTCAGGCTATCTCGGAGAAGAGACTGACCGGGGTTAAGGTGGCTCCACGTGCCCCTCGGATCTCCCATTTGTTATTTGCGGATGATTCATACTTATTCTTGCGAGGCACGCTTCAGGAGTGTGAGAACCTGATTGAAGTTTTGAACGAATATGAGGAACTTAGCGGTCAACGGGTGAATCTGGAGAAATCGGCAGTGTGTTTTAGCAAGAATATCTCCCTACCTGACCAAGAATTTTTGGCCACCATTTTGGGGGTAGGGGCAGTAGGGGTCCAGGATAAATATCTGGGTTTGCCGACTCTGATTGCGCGATCCAAAATGGCGACTTTCCGATACCTGGAGGAAAAGCTGTTAGAGCGACTCCAAGGGTGGAAGCAGAGGACATTATCTTGGGCAGCCAAAGAAACTTTGATTAAGTCAATTGCGCTGGCCTTGCCTTTGCATGTAATGTCCTGCTTTAAACTGCCTGTTTCCCTGTGTCGGCTGCTAGACAAACATGTTGCCCGGTTCTGGTGGGGTGCCGATGAGGTTCACTCAAAGGTGCGGTGGGTGTCCTGGCGTAACATGTGCAGAAGTAAGCATGATGGGGGGATGGGATTCCGCAGATTCGAGCATTTTAATCAGGCTCTGTTAGCAAAGATTGGTTGGCGTATACTGGTTGAACCCAGTCCCTCTTGGCCCAGATTTACAAAGGCAAATATTTCCCCAGAGGAACATTTCTCCAGGCTTTGCCACGATCTCGGCCTTCTTGGGGCTGGCAAAGCATCCTATATGGTCGCCAGTTGCTGGAGGTTGGTCTTCGTTGGCAGATTGGAAATGGGAAGACTGCTTCCCTCCTTCAATCCAATTGGATACCCCGTTGCCAGATGGATTCCCCAAGTTATAATCCGCAGATTTTACCAGAGGATGGTAACCTGAAGGTGGCTGAGGTCATTTGTCCTGACGAGGGGCGGTGGTGTGACACCAAACTTAGTCAGTGGTTTGATCCGCCTACCTGTCGGGCCATTAAAGCAATTCCGCTGCCTAGGCAAGATGTGGAGGATAAGATGATCTGGCATGACACAAAGGATGGGGTTTTCACTATCAAGTCAGCATATCATCTTGTGGTCTACCTTGATAGGAGGAAGGGTGGTTGGAAATCTCTGGCGAGTTGGATAAGGTTATGGAATGCTAACATCCCTCCCAAATTGAAGGTCTTTCTTTGGAAAATCCTCAATCGGGCACTCCCTACCACAGAGGCTTTAATTGAGAAAAAGGTCCCTGTCCATCCTCGTTGTCCGGTTTGTTGGGCTAGTTCTGAGACAATGGAGCATTTATTTTTAGACTGCCCGGTTGCGCTGGCACTTTAGGATTATTCGGGGTTGGAGTACTTGGGTGAGGGGTTGCCTCGGCATACCTTTCCTTTATTTCTAAAGAAGTTGTTGGCCTTGATTAATCAGCCCACGCTATTCATGGCTGTGGTGATTGTTCTCTGGAGGATCTGGCGGTCACGTAATTGGGTGGTCTTCGAGGGAAAGCAGTTCGGGTTCCCTGCGTTGATGCGTAAGTTTCACCAGCAGTATGAGGAATGGATGGCATTGCCGCCTGGTGGTCCTATGCACGTTAGCCGTCTTGTGGGGTCGCATATTTTGGATCCGGTGGAGCCTAATAGGATTGTGTGCAGGTGGGATGGCGCCACTAAGAGTGGGTGCCATTTGGCGGGTGGGATTGTTCTCTTTACTCCTTTAAGGGAGGTTTTCCTTGTTAAAGGGTTCCAAATTCCGGTAATTGATGACCCTATGGTGGTGGAGTTGCTCGTGCTTAAGATGGTGATTATTTGGTGTCTAGACCTTGGATTTACGAACGTCACTTTTGAGGGGGATGCCAAGGTAGTCATTGATAAAATCAATCAGGCAGATGTCAGAGATAACCGGGCAGGGGCTGTGCTTGAAGAGGTTGTGAAGTATTTTAGTTCCCATTCCGAGTTTGGTGTTCGATTTGTAGGCCGGGTAGCAATAGGGTAGCCCATTTGGTGGCTAGAAAGGCCATTTCTTTGTCCCCGTCTATGAATCGTGTATTTGATTTTCAGACCTGGCTGATTTCCAGTGTGTAACTATCTTTTTGTTTGATTCAATATATATCTATCTTTTGTAAAAAAAAATACTATAGTTGTTTATGTAATTCACGAAATTAAATTAATCCGGCCAACTAATCGGGCCTGTGACTAGTATATATTTATTTATTTATCACAATACATCAATTTAACAAACAAAGTTTAAGGAACAATTCACTTATATCATGTTCTACCAATTACCTTACCTTCACCGACAACAGGACGACGACGTACTGCCCAGTCCAGTCAGCGCCATTGAAAGCTGACAGCGGAAACTTGCAGCCTCGGGCTAAGGCAAGTAGCAGAAGAAAAGAACCCGCGGAAGAAGAAAGAAAGTACAAAGAACAGAGGGGAAAAACAAATGGAAGATCTCTGGAAGAGAGCGAAGCTGTTTGCGGAGGAAGCCGCAAAGAAGTCTCAGACCATAACCTCTTCCTCCAACAAGTTCGCCGATCTAGTCGCCGAGACCGCCAAAAAGTCGAAAGAGCTCGCCATCGAGGCCTCGAAGAAGGCCGACGAGTTCAAAGTCGCCGCGCTCAAGCAAGCCGACCAGATCCAGATCAAGTCCTTCTCCGACATCATCCCTTCCCAACTCTCTTCCCTCTCGATCGTCAACGGCGGCTCCGAAGTCGCGCCTTCTTCATCCCCTTCTTCCTCCTCCGCCGCTGCCGTCGTCTCCGAAGAGGAGCTCCGGAAGTTTGGAATCACGGACGATTTGAGAGATTTCGTCAAGGGACTGACGTTCAGCACATTCCAGAACTTTCCCGTTCAAGGTGAGGGTTTTTTCCCCGGGAAATGTTGCTGGCGGTTTCTAGCCTTGTTTCTGCAAGGCGTCTGACAATTTTTCCCTTTTAATTTTGTTTTGGTTTGATTGTGTGTATATAAGATGATCCTGCTCCGGCTGATGTGCCGGCCAATGAATCGAACGTGCGGAAGGATCTTAACGAGTGGCAGGAGAGGCACGCCACTCTGGTTCTCTCTACAGTTAAGGTGATTTCGTTGTAAATTTTGCCTTAATCATGGTTTCGTTTTCCCTTGTCAATACTCTACTGTGGAAGAATGGGACTGCATTGTGAAAACTTCGAATTGCATGATCTTCTTCGTTTCTAATTTTCCTTTCACTGATATCCACTGTCGACTTTAGGAACCAACCAAGCATCTTTCTTGCCTGACATTTTGGTTTCTGCATTTGATGGATGTTTTGTGGATTTTCTTGAATTGATAATCGGAGATGGGCCTTAAGATGATACATTCCTCTCTTAGTTGTTCTATTAAGTTGTTCTGTCTTCCGGCCATCTGCATATTGTAGTTTATTAGTCCTGATTTGGATTGTGGATACTGGATTCCTAATGTTTATCAAAATGCACAAAAAGTGAGGAAAGGGAGTGCCATTGGCTTCGAGGAATGTATAAACAGTAGAGAGGAATGCTAGCAGGAAAGACTGTCTACTGAAAATGTAATATTGCAAGTGCCTGAGAACTATACGCTGCTTGTTGTATGTCGAGTTCTGCTTTTGTAGTTGAGGAATAGGGAGATAGTAATGAAATATCAAATTCAATATGAATCTGTATTCATAGGTTGACTATATACATCACTGCTGAATTGAGAACATTCATATAGAATTCCTAGGGTGAAGCTCACAAGTCATGCTGATATTTTCATGGTATTGGCGGTGCTGTGTTCAACATGTTTTTCTTCCTCGTTATCACTGATATCCTCAATTTGCTCCTGTCCTTTGCAGCAAATCTCGAAATTGAGATACGATTTATGCCCACGTGTAATGAAAGAAAGGAGGTTCTGGAGGAGTTATTTCACACTAGTCAGCACTCATGTTGGACCGTACGTCTCTGAATGATCTGCTGCATTTTGTTACGCGTCCTTATAACTTTTTGAATCCTTAACTTCTGGAACACTCCAGGCTCTTGAACTCCAAACGCTTGCTGATGTTTGAGTTGATTTTCCATTGAAACCCAGATATGAACAAGAGTATAAGGAAGAGTTAAAGCGCAAAGCTGAGGAGCAGATAAAAGATGAGAAAATCAAGCAAGCTGCAGCTGCAAATCCATCTGTACCAGAAGGTGCAGAAAAGAGCATGGAAAGTAAGAAGTCGAATGTGTCAACAGAACAGGACTTGGATACATTTTTATTGGGCGATCTCGAAGATAGTGATGGAGGAGCAGGTACCATCTTTTTTAGTGCAAAATTCATAGTTGCTTTTGCCTTGGGGATTCTTCTGTAATCTATTCCATGTTTCTAACCCAAACTTTTTTTGAACCATCTCCCCCATCTTCAGATATGGGTGACGATGCTGATGGCAACTTTGAAGATGATTTCGACAAGATTGATAATTCAGTAAGTTCTTCCTAGTAAACGTTTATGAGATTCATGGATTTGCACAAAATGGTCAGCTCTCATCAAGTTTCATTATTTGCATTGCCAATTAACACATGCTCCTGATATTGTAAATTGCAGGACATTGAAGATGATCTCAAGGAGCTCAAGAAGGTAACAGATGCTAAAACTTCAAGCTAGGATCAAAAGTGCAGAACTGCAGCTTCTGTAAAGAACTGAAAAGAAGAGCGGCAAGTTCCTGTAACACGCAAAACTAGTAGAAACTTGGGAAAATGTTGCAGACTGTTGATTACCTTAAAAAATTTTCAGAGTAGAATTCGTTTGTTTGTCGTTTCAAGCTCTTTTTGCTATCGTTTTACCCTGTACAGAACCGTTGAATTCAGTTTATGTCTTTAATGAGAAACCAGTAGTATTTTCCCGTTGAATGGCAGCAAATTGTATAGCCAAAAAACCCGTAGTTTGCCTTTCCTTTCTTTACCAGAAAAAGGGTCTCAATTACCAACTCTCAACTCTTCTGTCTTCACTTTCGGACTTTGGTCGCCATACAATGGCTATGGCCCGTCCCTTCCTCTTAACTTATAGGGTCGCAACCCTCCGTCGTCTACAGATAGTCCACTCTTTCCTATTCTCCTCCGTCTGCCGGCGAGGCCAGCCGTCACCACCATCAACCTCCTTTTCGCTACCGTCGGAATCTCCTCCGGCGGCGACAAAAGTCCCCTTCGCCACCTCTGCCCACGGGCGAACCTGGCAGGACCCATATCATTGGATGCGGAAAACCGCCGACCCGGATTTCATCGACCACCTTCGTAGGGAGAACACCTACGCCGCCGATTTCATGGTCGACACGGAGCAGCTGCAGCGGACTCTGGTTCGCGAGATGCGAAGTCGACTCCCCGCCAAGGTTTCTACTCCTCCCGAGCGCTGGGGACCCTGGTGAATTTCAAACTCTCTGTTTTTTCCATCCTTTTCCTTTGTTGTAAGTTTGGACAGCTGTGATTAAATATAACTATTGATGGTGACGTGAACCAGGTTATATTACCAGTACATTCCAAAAGGAAAAGAGTACCCAGTTCTGTGTAGAAGGTCGGAGGCAAGTGATTCTGGGTTTGTGAGCAAACTGCTCTGTTTTGCGAGTGGACACTCTGAGAGGAAGGAGCAGATTTTGCTCGACTGGAATGAAATTGCTGAGCAATATGGTAACCCTGAATCTTAAAGCTTCTTTCTTTCTTTCTTCTACCATTTCCTTAGCTGTGCCGGGAATTGAGAGAATCTGTTCTGGGAATGGCTATCACAGGCTATGTTCATGTGGGGGCATGCCGAGTTTCGCCAGACCACAATTTCATTGCATATACAGTTGACGTTAATGGCAGTGAGCAGTTCTTGCTTCGGATTAAGGACCTGGGCGATGGATCAATTGTTCAGAGGTCGGAAGTGGAGGGGGTCGTCAGCTTGGCTTGGGCTCGAGATGGAAGGACTTTGTTTTATACTGTATCAGATGAGAATCAGAGACCTTACAGGTGAATACAGCACTTGTTTATGGCTCTTTCCATTGGAGGAACTAGGAAGCCAACTTATTGATCAGTTCTTTCATGTTTGGTAGGGTTCTATGCACAGAAGTAGGTTCAGATGGGACCAATGACATGCCAGTTTATACAGAGAATGACTCGAGCTTTTGTGTAGACATAACAAGCACCAAAGATGGCAAGTTCATAACCGTGAACTCAAACTCAAGAACTTCATCCGAGGAAGGAATTTAGTATTTACTTCATCCCTTGTATTCCAAAACTTTCTCTCTCTGCATTAGACTCATAGTTCTGTTCTTCACTTTGAATTACAGGTATATGTGATTGATGCAGCTTATCCTCTCGACGGTTTGGACAGAATTTGTAAACGTATGCCTGGGGTTCAGGTTTTTGTTGAGCATCACTATGATTCCTTCTATATTCTTACCAATGCTCCTTTAAGTGAGAACAAGGAATCCTCATCAGTCGGGAGTTACTACCTGATCATATGCAAAGTGGAACATATACATTTACCAGATTTGCAGGTTTCTTACACATTACCATCCTTTGTGGTTGATTGCCTCATACTTTTGCTGTTTGCTGCTTGCTAACCCTCGAAATGTTGAATGAACAGCAGTGCATCATCTTGCCGAGTGAAGATGTGAGTTTCCATGATACGGACATTTTCAATCAACATCTAGTGCTGTCTGTAAGTAAAAGCAGCCTGCCTACGATGTGTTCCATTAAGTTGCCCATACAAGACCTATCTTCTAGCTTACAGGTGTGGAGCAGTGATAACTCCTTACTGTTCGAATCTTGTTGATTTCTAGTCAGTTCTTACATCATGTTTGGGTAGAAGGGAAAAGACTATTTAAGATGTTACGAAAATGATCGTATTTTCATTTTTGCATTTCCCCCCTGGATTCACTTGCAGAAGCGATTGGATGTTGAAGATCTCAATCCCTGGTATTTTCCTGTACCTACAGATTTATGTAGCGTTGCTCCAGGATCCAACCATGATTTTATGAGCTCAGTTTACCGTGTGGTTCTCTCATCTCCTGTGGTATGGGCTTTCATTGACATCTTTTATAATTATTAACAGAATAAATGCAAAAGAATTTTTTAATAAAAATACTAAACTCTCTTTTCACGGTGTCCTCTCCAAACTTTCCAGATGCCTGATGTTATTGTAGATTACAACATGTCAGAACAGACATTATCAATAGTGCACCAAGAGGAAGTAAAATCAGCTGATACACATGAGCATCTTGTCTCTGAATGTAGTGAAGTAAAAAATGACAATAACTTTATTGGGGTGGAAAGATGGGAAGACTTCTCTTCTAAATATTGCTGTGAAAGAAAACAAGTCATATCCCATGATGGCATTAAGGTTCCTCTAACAATCATGTACTCTCGAAATGCCTGGAAGAAAGGCGAGTCCCCTGGTCTATTGCATGGTTATGGAGCTTATGGGGAAGCTCTCGATACAAGTTGGTGCTCTGACCGTCTGAGCTTGCTCGATAGAGGTTGGGTGATGGCATTTGCTGATGTCAGGTTTGTTTCCTGAAATGCATCTTATGATTGATATATAGTGATTATAACACAGGGTTTATGCTCAAAATTTTAAATTCTGATTCTACCCATTGTTTGACATAGTATATAGGCTATAACCGTGATCTGAGAGCATTGGTGCCCTATTGTGTTGCAGGGGTGGTGGTGATTCTTCATGGCATGAATCAGGGACTGGTTTGACCAAACCCAACTCGATTCATGACTTCTTGTCCTGTGCCAGCTTCCTAATTGATAAAGGGTATGTACATAAGGGCCAACTTGGTGCCACAGGTACAAGTGCTGGGGGGCTTCTTGTCGGAGCAGCCATTAATATGAAGACGGATCTTTTTTGTGCTGCCATATTGAAGGTTAGACTCCGAATCTAGGCTTTGGTTTGACAGGAGATAGAGACCTTTCCGTCTCCTCCTTTATGATATATTCAGATATGTTTTTTCAGGTTCCATTTTTGGATATATGCAACTCACTGATGGATCCAAGCTTGTCTCTTACAATACTGGACTATGAGGAATTTGGGAATCCCCATATAGAGAAGCAGTTTGAGTGCATTCATAGCTATTCTCCATACGATAACATTCCACGAGCGGCGTGCCTGCCATCTGTGCTCGTTACAGCATCATACAACGACTCGAGGCAAACAGCTCTGATCACTTTGCCCTTTTCCTCACTTCCTCTTTGCTGGATGAACACCAATGCTAACATGGTGCGAGTGTCTTTTGTTATTCTCTTTTTCAGGGTTGGAGTTTGGGAAGCCGCCAAATGGGTGGCGAAAGTACGAGACACGACCTGCCCCAATTGTTCTCGTTCTGTCATTCTGAAGACAAACATGAGCGGTGGACATTTTGGCGAAGGTGGCTACTATGCTCAGTGTGATGATACGGCTTACGAATACGCATTCCTCATCAAAGCTTTAGGTGTTATGACTTATAAATAACTGACAAATTTCTGATCTCACGACCACCACCTACTCAGTTGCTGAACCCCTGGAAGCTTCGCCTTGAGCAGAATCTCCATCTATTGCTGCTGATGCAGCGTACAGATGGAGCAATGACTCAGCGGTGGAAGATCATGGAGTATACTGCTAGAATACTGGAAACAACTGTGCAAATTCTTGTTAGTTGCTGTCTGATTCAGTTCCATTGGAGTCTTGATATCGATCACAAGGTTGCGAAACTCTTTACACTTTTTTTTTGGAAACAACTGTGCAAATTCTTGTTAGTTGCTGTCTGATTCAGTTCCATTGGAGTCTTGATATCGATCACTAGGAGGCAAAACTCTTTACACTTTTTTTTTTTTTGGGTGTACAGCTGAAGTTCAAATTGCATGAACTGAAACATTAGCCGAGCCGAGCAAAGGCTCTATCTATGGGCGTTCACCAATGCCATTTGGTTTATGTCAAATGAGTAGGATCCTTGGTCGTTCGACAAAAAAGCTGAATTGCCGATTGGGAATCGGATTCCACCAGTACTGGTTTGTGTGGAAGTGTTTGTGCCAAAGATAAGTCGTATTGCGTAACGCCTGGCTTGCAACTCGTTCAGTCGAGAAATCAGCGACCAAGGTGCTTTTTTTTCGTGTAACAAACTAACCATCCATATAGCTCTCATATAATCTATTAAATCTTTTTTTTTTTTACTATCAACCTGTGCTTTATTTATATGGAAATGAGTCCATTACAGTCCTGGGCTAAGGTTGGAAGAAGGAAAAAAGGTGGTCTGGTGACCCAATCTTCTTGGGCTCCCCAGTTACATGTAGTGTGGGCCATCGTGTGGGCCGCCGAGTTGGCATGTTTATTTGCAAAGGCCCATCTAACCTTATCCTCTCCAACTTCGACTGCGAGCTCTTCAATCTGCTGCACAATCAGTTCCACCTTCGTTCTTCGTCGTGCTTCATTTCCAAATTGCAAGAACAATCCTTGGCAATCCATCTCAAGAATCACTGGAAGGAGCAGATGATGGATTGCATAGCGTAGACCATAGAGCATCGCCTTGGCCTCTGCTAGCTCCGGTGCTCACTAGTTTCTCTCCCTCGACACAGACGCCATGAGGAAGACTCCTTCAGCATTTCTCGCTACCACTCCCAAGCCCGTTCATTCGTTTTCCAGTACTGTTGCATCGACGTTAACCTTATTACACCCTTCCATCGACGGAGACCAGGTAATCTGTCCTCCTCTGTTTGCTCCTTCTTCCCTTTCGCTGTGAGATTCGAATTCTTCCAGCAAATCTAGGGCTTTTGTGACAACCTCCCAGTCTTCCAATTTGTGGTAGTTAAACATGTGGTTGTTTCTTTCGCTCCATGGCTTATATAGGATCATTCCCAATCTGCTCAACACCTCATCGTCTACCCTCTCCATTATTTCACATAGTCGGTTGCACTGGATAAAGTTTCCCCTTATTCAAAAAGCGGCCTGTATTCAGTGGGTCTCCAGATTCGAGTTGCCCATGAGCATTCTCTGAATATATGGTTATGTGTCTCCGCCTGGTTACAGTACGGGCATTCGATTGGAGCATCCTTCTTCATGCCCTCAATGTTCTTTCCTGTTGGCAAAATGTCGTGGGCAAATCGCCACAGAAAGGTCTTGACTTTTGGGGGAATGTTCAACGCCCAAAGCCGATTCCAATTCATAGGATCGTAGATTTCCCCTATCCCCTCTTCCAACTCTTCCCCTATCTCTTCATTTTTCCTGAGTGCACACCCGAATTTGTAGGTTGATTGGACCGTGTAGACTCCTGGCTTCTCTTGACTCCAGATCCTTCTGTCATCTGGTGGTTGTCTAGGAATAGGAATTCCCTCAATTCGATTACGATATGTGACATTGAAATGACGCTGCAGCAATGATCTTTTCCACGTCCTAGTGTCATAATCAATGAGGTCTCACCTGATTACCCTCTCTCAACTCCGTTCTTGGAGAAGTCACCCTGAAATCATCTTCTTCAGCTCCTGGAATCCATCAATCCTCCCATATGCTTATGTTTGAACCGTTTCTCAGTCTCCACCTTAGCCCCTTTCTTACTAGATACTGGGCAGCCATTAAGCTTCGTCAAGTATAACTTGGATTGTTACCTATAGATGCATTCAGTTCGTCAGAGTGAGGGTAATACTTAGCCTTCAGAACCGTTGCTGCTAAGGAGTCCAGATTTTCCATTAGATTCCAGACTTGCTTCCCAAGTAGAGATAGGTTGAAAGCACCCATGTCTCTAAAGCACATACCTCCTTCTTCCTTAGGCGTACAAAGCTTCTTCCAGGCATTCCAGGGAATTCGTTTCTCCTCCCCTGTTGTCCCCACCTGAAAGCCGAGATCACCCTTCTAATTTCATCTAGCACCCCCTCTGGCACTCTAAATATCGACATGGTATAAGTAGCTTGAGATTGTGCTACAGACTTTATTAAGACATCCTTGGCTGCTATCAATAGTGTTTGGCTCTTTCAGTGTTTGACTTTTTTCCTGACCCGATTCACTAGTACACCAAAAGCCGCCTTTTTCTGCCAATTTTTGTGGGTAACCCCAAGTATTTTGCGTGCTCTTCAACGCTTTTCATCCATAAGATGTCAATCAGCTCAGCCTTCACGCTTGGGGAGAAACTAATCTCTGATTTTTGGAGATTCACTTTTTGCCCTGATTCTAGCTCATAAATTTGTAGGATCTCTTTTAGTTTCTGCATTCTGGTGGTGTTGCTCTTGCAAACAAAATGTTATCATCCGCAAATAGTAAATGGGAAATGGCCAGGCCCCTGTTAGAGACTTTAAGTGCATGAATCTTGCCCCTTCTGACCTCTTGATGAATAAGAACAGATAGCCCCTCTACGCAAAGCAGGAATAGGTAAGGTGACAGCGGGTCACCCTGCCTAAGTCCTCTTTCTGGTCTGAATTCCATAGATTGATGGCCATTTACTAGGATGGAGTATGTTACCGTACTCACACAATTGATGATCAAATGCACCCATCTTTCATGGAAACCCAATTTAAGCATCATTGCCTCAAGAAAATGCCACTCCACCCTATCATAGGCTTTCGAGATATCAAGTTTTGCTGCCATCACAACTGTTTTGATTTTTTCTTGTTTTTGATTGCATGGGAGCACTTGAAAGCAATCAGAACATTGTCCATGATGTTTCTTTTTGGGACAAAAGCACTATGATTTCCCCCCACCACCTTGCCGAGAATCCTCTTCGGTTTGTTAGCCAATGCCTTTGCCATTATCTTATAGAGAACTTGGCAAAGACTAATTGGGCAAAATTCTAGAGGTTTCTCTGGTTTCTTCGTCTTTGGTATAAGTGCGATCAGTGTATAATTATGTTGTGGTGGGAAACTCCCCATCTCTAAGTAGCCTGTGAGAGCCCTTGTCACCTCAGGGCCAACTACCTCCCAATTATGTTGGAAAAAAAGAGTTGGCATGCCGTCTGGTCCTGGAGCTTTCATTGGCCCCATCATCTTTAAAGCTTCCCAAATTTCGTCACCCGTAGAAGGCATTAAAAGTTCTTGGTTTATAGCTGGGGTGACCCTCTGATCAATAGATGATAGAATCTGGCTTGTGTCAGGTGGTTCCCTCGGAGTGAAAAGGCCCTTATAATAGTCTACCAAACAAGTTTCCACCCCCTCCTGACATGTCCACATCCTCCCCGAGTCATCCATGAGCTTCTTTATCGTATTCATTTTCCTTCTTTCTGACGCTTTGTTATGAAAAAAGCTAGTGTTACTGTCACCTGCCTTCAATGATCTTTGTCTCCATTTGCATTCCTCCCGATAGAGGATATCATCAAGTTCCCGCTCTAGAGCTTTCCGTTGTTCCAGCATGGTCTTTGTTCTCTTTCTGGGATTTACTTGCTTGAGCAATCTCTCTACCCTTTTCCTTCAAGTTTTGAGTGATCCAAAAGCTTATTTACTCTAGTTGAGCAAAGTAGCAATTCTTAATTCAATCCATAATAGAGACGTTTCCCTGATTTGCCCATCCTTCTTTAACCATCTGCTTGTAATCCTTATGGTATTCCCAATAATGCTCATATCTAAAGGACCATCCCCAGGTAACCTCCTCCTCCATCGTATTCAGTACGATCTTAATATGAATATATTCACCACCACACCTGTCCAGATGATTTAGTCTCATATTAGGGTATAATTGCTTCCATTTTTCATTTGCAACTGCTCGATCCAGTCTCTCTTTAATGTAGATTTTCTCATCTCGATTATTCTCCCATGTGAATATTCTTCCAAAATAGCCACAATCTTCAAGACCACAATCCTCTACTGTTCCTCGAAACATCTTCATCTCCTTCATGTCAGGTTCTCTTTTTCCACTTTTCTCTAACTGATCAGTGAGGAGAGTGAAGTCCCCCATAACTAGCCAGGGGAAATCCACTTGTTGATGGAGCCTTCATGGTAACTAGCCAGGGGTAAGACTACAATCATATATATTGATTTCAATAATAGATAATTACATTAGGTAAGTAGGGGAAAAAAGGAAAAGATGCCCACAATATGGAGGGAAAGAAGGAAAAACAATATAGGGTAATTGACATAAATATTGTTTTTTTAATACAATTACCACAAATATAGCGGTCTGAAAACTATTTACAGGGATATTGTGTTTGGAAGGACTAATTACGTGGTTTCGTGTTAGCTACTTTTTAAACTATAAGTAAAGCAGACCCTCGTGAGCTAGAAAAAAGGGAAAACGGCTCACGCGGATCGGCACTGCTGTTGTACTTCGTTTTCGCGTCTTCTTCTTCTTCTCCCCACCACCCACAAGAAACCCAATCTCGCACCAGAATTCCTTTTTCATTCTTTGCTAGGCCGGTTCCGCCAATCATATCCTCCTTCCTCTTCACTCGCCCGGATCCGCAGGTTGTCTTCTTCCTCCATCCACTTGCTCGCGCGGATCCGCAATAGCAGCTTTGTCCCCTCCACCAGATCAGATCTAGTTTTCATCTTCTTCTTTTCGAGCGGCAGCGGCAGATAACAAAGATGGCGGACTCCGACCACGATTCCGGCGAAGAGGAAGTCATCTCCAGTGGAGGAAGGGGTCGTGGGAGAGGGAGGCGACCGACACCGACGTAAGTCACCACACTGGCGACGACCAGAAGTGTACAATGAATGACCATTTCTGATTTTTGCTTTTATCTCCAACCTCATTTTATCGATTTTCTCCAATAATCGTCAATAAGTATGTTGCACAAAAGAAGTTACAGGAAGTGAACGAATACTTTTGAAAACACCATTAATGCTCTTTGTCATGTTGGATGTCATGACAGACCATCAATGCCCACGATTATGGTTATCATATGCTAAGCTCCAACTTAGTTGATTTTGGACCACCCAGTTATCGAATGAAACATTTCTATCAGTGACCATCTTCTTAAATTGCTCAACTTGACGATCGAACTTCTCCAAGCCTTTTTCTCACGAGAGAACAATAAATAACCACATGAGTTAGATATATCCATGACAAAATTTAAATGAGAATAAATAATACATAACATTAAATAACCATAGCAATGAATGCTTACCGGCTCGAAACAGTTGATTATACATAATCTTACTTTTAGTCTTCCTTTTCAAGTTGCTTGCATAGTGTCACATTCACCACCTCCTCTCCCGATGTCACTCATGGCTTCATAGAGTCCCGCATGTCTATCTGAGATCATGTAGACATCATTTCGATCGGTTAAACCTTGAAGGTGTCTTATGAACTGTAGCCAACTATCATTATTCTCACTCTCCACAATGGCAAATGCAATTGGAAAAATCTTCTTCCGACCATCAAATGAGCTTTCCATGAGTAGCACTCATTTATACTTCCCAGTAAGAAATGTTCCATCACCAACCATGACTCCTGGACAATTCTTGAATCCATCTATATAAGATCTATAAGCCTAGAATACTCGCTAAAAGAGCAAATGACCTGGTTGCGATGAAGGAATTCTTACACAATCAATCACTGATATTGACATTTTTCTCTTCACCACCATCAAAAACTTTTGCAAATACTCGTAGGATTCTTCCCAATTTCCATGAAACTTCTCTAATGCTCTTTGTTTCCCATACTAAGCCTTCTTGTAAGTAACTTTCATATGAAACTTATCTTTTAACTCGGCCCGCACAGTTATAACACTCAGATTTGGTTGGGCACGTACCAAATGTTTCACGGACTCAGATATAAAGTTGACACCAAGACGACGATGATCCGTCGGTTGAGTTGTACTGCTACAAGAATGCATCAACTCGGCCTTTATCACAATCTATTTGCTTAAACATCTCGACATCCAAACCGCACCATCCAAGCACAATTCTCATTCTTGTGCTTCTAGCCTTTGACCTTCCAGATTGAAGGTGTTGAATCCACCACGACATACTAAAAGTTGCATTGTAGTGCATGATATTAAATGGCTACCTGTGCAGCTTGTTTGGCGTGAAATATCTGCCCCTTGTTGAATTCTCATTCGAAGCCAGCAACAATAGACATTGGAATTACGCCATATGAATCATAATATGACAATTCATCGTTCTCTTCATTACCCTGCAAGTAATAATCTAGAGGATCATTAGGCTCTTCTTCCTTCTCTTCGTTACTATAGTCATGATCATATGGCACATTTCATTTCTCATCTTCACCCTAACTAAACTCAACATGCACCTCAGCACCCAAACAATAAGAGTTTTGTGCCATAAAATTGAAAAACACATTCAAGCTTCATCATCCACAATAGGAATCACATAATGAAATATAACACCATTCTGCCATTATGGAAGTTTGTAAGTGAAACCTGTGATCATATCACTATCTTGTACTGTTTCGTCATTACGTCGAATCCTCGGAACTATATTCTCACAAAATTTTTGATATGTGACCCTGCATGGAACTGTCAACTAAAAGTTTCTACCACCAACGAAATCGATGCCCAAATTATTCTCTACTTTTTTCGCTTTCCACCGAACAATTAGTTCAAATCGTCTAAAATCACTACATTAAAAACTAATTCACTAATTACTAACTAAACAAAACCATAATAACATTTTAAGAATCTAAGTAAAAAATTTAATGTGTCTCTTACCTAGCCATCTTTGCAGCTACCAGCAACAATTCTTCGTAAGATATTTTTTTTTGTGGTGAACGATACTGGAACTGCTTCTTATAGTGGTTTGAGAGAATTGTCTTGGGATGGAAACAAGTGAATACGGGCGAGTAGCTGTGTATTTTATTTATCTAGCTCGCGCAGACTCGCATTAGAAAAGGTAAGTATCTAAAAAAATCGGTTGGGAGGAAAACAAGCGAATCATGTGCTTAAGCGACTATGCACGAGAAGTTTTAAAAATCCGGCCAAGCGAACCCACGCGCAAATATTTTATTTTACTTAGCTCGCATGGACTCGCATTAGAAAAGGTAAGTACTTAGCTCGCGCGGATAAGCCGATTCTCTACCTTCACATCACAATATTTTTGTCATTTTGTTTTTAAACCGCTATATCTGTAGTAAAATTAAAAAATCACAATATTTGTGAAGAAGCCAACAATGGGGGAGTAAAGAAGGAAAAAAAGGGTGGGAAAATCCTCCAAAACCCTCAAGAAAAGGAAAAAAGGGTTAGAATTGTAGAGTGCCTTTCAAGTAATTCCGCGTTCCCTCTCCGTCAGTCGTCCCCAATTGTCTGCCTCGGTTTCAGATTTCCATTACCGATCCTTTTGTAATCAGAAAAATCAAACAAATTCAATGGATGAACATAATCTAAAACCATTTAACTGCATCAATAGACAACACAATGATGTGGACAAAACTTTTGAAGGAAAGGGCAGAGAGACAAGGGGGCGACTGGCGGAGCTGTTCGACGGAGACAAAGCACTTGGCGAAACAAAGGATTCGTTCCTGAAAGTACTTTTGTGTACATAATAAATCAATGAGGAGGAAGACAATGAAGATTTTAGTGCAGGTGAGTTGGAAAGCCTGTATAATAGTTCGATTCGGCAGCAAAGGAGTTCGCCAGGATTTTTTGTTGATGTTCATAGTCTTGCAGAGAAGGAGGGTGAGGCTTGGGGAAGATGACCAAATTCTTTTTTGCGTCTTTTTTTATGGAAAAAAGTAATTGCTTAAAGTAAGTCGAAAAGTTGTTTACGGTAACAAATTATGACAATAAGAAAATACAAAACAATAAATAATTTCTTGGTTCCGTGGTCCTCTCGGTTCATTAGCAATGGATTTGGGCTGATTTGAAAAAAAATATAACTAATACGATGCACGTGGCCCAATTAAAATCAGCGATACCTATTTGCTTTCTTTCTTTATTTGCGATGGGCTCAAAGAGATTTACAAGCCCACATTACAATCTCCTTTCAGAGGGAATGGAGTGGGCCTTTATTGATTTGGCCCAGAAGACTGAACCAAAGAAGAGAAGTTGGCTATTCTTTCTATGGATGGCATTAATATTCGTAACCGTTGATATCCACCCGAATCCGACCTTGTCGGCTAGGATAAAATCTGAACCCGAATGACTTTTAGCTGGTACGGGTAAAACCCGAACCCGAATATTGCGGACAATGGGTGGGCATGGTTTTCTTACTATCCAACCCGAACCCGCCGGATATACACATGCATATGTATTTTGTCTAGAAATAATCATTATTGTTCTCTAAACATGTCTTATATTTAGCATATAAATATAATCCAACAAGCTTACATGAACCATCAAAGAAAGTATTTGATTGAATTGTGTTGCTTTAATGAATTTTTTTCATTCTAGTGAATTATTGTTATACTTTTCGTCTTACATTATCCGAGAATACATGTGAATATTAACATATTAATTGGAGTGATAAAGAGAAACTATTACCCACGGATAACCGTGGATATCCGAAACCCGAATGGGTATGAACATGGTTTTGATTTTCTACCCGTTTCTTATTTGGGTATGGGTAAAACCCGAACTACTTTGGGTAAGATAACGGATATGCACTATCCGTCTCCGACCCGACCCATTGCCATCCCTAATTCCTCCTTCGATAAAAAACAAACCTAGAACAACGACTAAAACAGAGGAAGGAGCTTCCAAGCGTCGCACAGTGGCGAGACCTTCTTCGATGGCATAGTATCGGACGGGATCAGGGCAGATAGCGTGATATCCGACCCCGATTCATCCCCGCTTCCACAGTGTGTCTGGATTTTCTCGTTCTCGACCGGTATCCGGCACTAACGGGTTTGCTTGCGGGTTTGTCCCGGGCGAGTGCGGGTGATGCCCGCTTTTTATGGACCCACTTCCATGCCTATCTCTCCACCATTTTCCCCCTCTTTTCCCTCCCACATTGAGTGTGGTCTTAGTGGATGAAATTTTTTATTGTTTAATTTGGGCTTTCCACCTGAATGGGTTACTACTAGTCAAAGCTGCTTCATTAGACTCCAAAGAAATGGACGACCGTGTATATCCCTGTTTTTTGAAAAATTTTAACGTTCAATAGTTCGTTTATTAACATTGCATGTGTTCATTATCAATGCTTCTTGTCATAATAATTAACATTCTATTGTTTGATCATGACTATGAGTTATATGTATATTTTCCCCTCTACTTTGCTAAGTTATCAAACATGCCCCTCTACAATATTTCATATCAATTTTGCCCTTCTACTAAATCAAATTAATCAAATCTACCATTTCATCATTTATCTTGTAGTTGAGCTTTATCTTGGGTCAACTATGTTTGAATCAGTTTAATATGTATTTGAAATCCCTTTGAACACTTTGGTCATCATTTTTCCTACTTGGACCGAGAATCGGCTGCCGTACATAATCTAATAACTCTCTTCACTCAATCACCAACAACCGGAGATTCTAACACCGCCTCCTCTATCAACATTAATCTGGCCACTCGTATTGAAGATTACGGCTGAAGAAATCGAACCACAAAGGAAGAAAGCACTGATGAGTCCCTTATATGTCGTTGTCTCCCTCAGAAGCAATAGAAAGGCTGTGTAGAAACAACAACGTATATGTTAGTGCTTGGGTTATTTTCAATTTTTACTGTACATAGACATGTGTTCTAAGTCTATTAGCTGTGTATATGTTTCTTCTTGTTACCATTAGTTTTTCACTTCTGTAATTACCTTTACTCATTCCCTTCGTAAGGTGTCTGAGAGTATATAAGAGGCCTCTGAGCCAACCTGGATTCCTGTGGGTTTCCTTTACAATATTCTCAAACCTAATTTCATATGGTATCAGAGCCTGGTTACCTCAACTAGGGTTCTTACCAGTTCACCCGCATTCTTCCTTCCTATCTCAATCTGATCTTCAACTTCCTTTACAATGTCGACTAATTCAGCTACTACTGCAACTAGCAGCTCGACTTTGATTACTACTTCTTCCACAGTGACAAACCCTTACTACATAAACCCTAGTGTAACTTTGAGCTTTCCTATTAAGCTCACTAGTACTACAAATTACAATCTCTGGAGTCGTGCTGTTCGTGTGGCCCTAAAGAGCAAGAACAAGCTGGGATTCATCATTGGAGCGATTCCTGTTCAAGGTCCACGCCATGATAGCTATCAAGCTTGAAAGTAGAGTAATACGATTGTATATTTCCTCATCCTTGGGTCTCTTGATCCTTCTCTCGTCAACAGTGTCGATTCTCAAGACAATGCAAAGCTTTTTTCGGATGATCTGAGACAGAGGTATGGACAAGCCGATAACATTAAAATCAGTGATATTCAAACAACAGTCTATACATTAAAGCAAGGTAACAAGACTATCTATCAATTTTACTCTGAGTTAAAGGGACATTGGGAATAATTGATTCAATTTATGCTGATTTCTTGCTGTTGACACGCTAAAACACAACACCAAACTGCGACCAAGTGTAA